TACATTGTATGTAATGTATGCAAAATAACCTGAATTAATAATAACACATGGAAATTTGATGACTCATATAATTTTATCATTTAATCCGGGGCAATTCTTTGTGAAGGATTTTTTTTTTTTTTTTTTCATACATTCAGGGTTTTTGTGTTAGATGATTTTAATTGGATATTATTGAAAATTTAATGGCATTTTTTTTATTATTCCGAATATATTAATTAATAAAAAGTTGTTATTATTTTAACGGGTAAAAGCGAAATCAGTGACTGCCAGCATATTATATATTGTAAAACAAACTTTGGCAATGATCATCATATAAAAAGTCTCGTGATTTTTTTCTTTTTACAATTTTATTAATTATAATTATTTGCTATCATGATTTTTAACAATAAGCAGCAGTAAGTCGGGTTCATGACAAACTCATAAGTTTCTAACAATAAGCAATAAATCCAAAGATAATTCACAATTGTGAAATCCCTATATATTATTTGAAATGCATATAACTGTTTCACGGGATAAAAATTCCATAACTGACCGATAATAATTTCAAATGCAGGTTCAGTCACATGCAATTAAATTAAATATTTTTTTTTTTTTTTTTTTTTTTTTTTTTAATTTCTAATGATTTTTTTTGAGTCATCATCGTAAGTTGTTTTTCGCATATTTAACAATCAAATAATTTTTACCGCGTAAAATTTTACCAAATGTCTGGTTTCTTTGTTTTAATGCAGACAACAATAATGCATGCAAATTTGTTTTAAAAAGAATAAAAATAAAAAAAACAATGAAATAAATGTTTAATTACGAATTTTTTTTCAAAAAGTCAGTTTTTAATAGTAATAGCATTTTACAAAAAAAGAAACCGATTTTCTAATCATACATGCTAACAATGATTATTATATCGTTATTGATAAAATATTGACGATGCTGAAACAGAAAATAGTTAATGATGATATTACTTTGGATTTATTTGGCTTTTTGGCTGCATATACGCAGAAATTCATTATTATTGCATGTGATTTATATGTGAAATGCGTGTAAAAAATCAACTTGGAATTTTTCTATCTTTCTTTATATTTCTTTATTTCTTTGTCATAAAACTAATAATGATTCATGACTAATTATTACTACTACACCGTGAAAGTAATACATAACCATTAAAAGATAAAGATGTTGATGTTGATGTTAAAAGAAGTTTCATGTCAACGTTGCAATAGTAAACATAATCACAAGTATTAAACGTCAGGGTTTTTTATATGTGTTTTTTAAATAATGTCTGTGCGTATGTATAACTATATACACTATACGATATAATAATCGATATTTGTAATCATTTATAAGGTAATGAATAATAGATTGGATTTAATAGATTGATGATAATGCATGAAAGATATGAACGATTGATTTACATTACAATCCCAGCATTGTCTGTCAGTTTTTAAATGAATGGATTCAATTTCGAGTTAATTCATTTTAAACTAATTAATTCATTTTAAAATTAATAAATTAATTCAAAATTTTGAATTAGCTCAATTTAAAATTAATTACTTGAAAAAAGTACAATGTTATATTGTTGTTCATTATGATATATTAGGAAACCTGTCATATGAAAATTAAATTTTTGATGTATGTAGTAGCATTCATTATTTTTTTACTATTATTAAATGTTGTCATTGAATTTTTTTTTTACGAATTTGAATTTATTTGAATTTATTTTTTATGGATTGGAAATTTTTTTTTTAGAAAATGATTTTTTTTCAAAATTTCTAATCTAATTACTGCGCATTACTATCATTATCATTTATCATTATTTTTGCTGCTACTATTACTATTGTTATCAATTGTTATCTTATCATTCGCCAAACGTATTGGCAAACAAACAGTTTCGCATTTCTCCGAATAAATTTCTCAAAGAATTTTGTCGTACTTGAATTAATTAAAGAGCGAGTAGGGCAAAAATGGCGGATTTAAAAACAAATACGATATTTAAACAAATAATTGGTAAACAGATGTAAATATTACATACACAATGTTTGGTGATAATCCTTGACATTTTAAAAAATTAAAAATGAATAAAAATAAATGATTTTCCTTGATAAAAAAAAATCATTTGTTTTTTTACGCCCAAAGGGTTTTTTTATTTTGTTTTTTTGCCGCATGGCTGATTATAAATATTGATCTCCCTTTGAAGCATATATGCAGGGCCGAGAGTGTTTAAGACCAAGAGAAATGTAGGGAAAAGGTGGGAAAAATAGAAAATGCAATTTTTTTAAAGTTATTTTTATATTTTTATTCCATTATTTATTTATTTGTTGACTTGTCAAAATAGGACATCACACACACATACAATGACCGATCGAATGAATGAATGCTAAACATTAATGATGTTTCTAAAATTAGCAGTGAAGCGTCATTTTGCCAAAATTTTATTTTAAGAGTGGCAAACTCTACGTTTCATTTTATCTTGATATAGTAGAGATTCACTATATCGAAACACGTTATATATAGTTTGTGGTCATTTTCTTTCTATATAATGAAAATCATACTCCAAATTTCATTCGTAAATTTTATTCATATCATATTCAGGGAAAAAACCGTAACTCTTTCCTAGTAGAAACAATCCATTCATGTTAAAGTTTCTCTTTCTCTCCTTGTATAAGGATAAGGAAGGTCACTCTACACATAGTTTAAGTTACTCAACACCTAGTAAAGTTACTTGTTACTTAATAAAAATTTCTAGAATTGTCTTGTTATTTAGAAGAATTTTTTTTTTATCAATTTAAGGTTTAAAAAATAACGTTACACGATTTTTGAAGTAATAAAAATAGAATGTTACCAAATTTAGTGAAAACAAATGAGCCTTAGCTGGCTGGGTTTCTGTTGGCTAGGAAACTTTCAAAAATTAAATGGCTAAATTTTTTTTCTACCGACCAAATTGAGTAGTACCAATTTATATATATTAAGAGAATAAGTGAATTTCGTACATAAAAATAAAATTTTATATCGTTATAACATTCTTGGTTTATTTGATTTAATTTTAAACAAAAATTTATAATAAAAAAAGGTTGTTTGTTGCTTGGCAAGCCATGATGATCAAAAAATTTACCAAATTAAAAAAGATCTACTATACCAAGAAGATCTGCACTTTTGCTACCACGTAATTCCCCACCTGATTTTTTGCTTGTTTACGTGAATTTATATTCTCGTCCCATATGCCAACCAACAGAAAAAATAAAAATAAAATTAGTGTGGGGTTTTACTAGTATTGATTGTATGTGAAATCAGATTATGTGAAGTGAATGTACGAAATTCCCTTTTATTCTCCAATTTAATTCTTACACATGTTAATTACAAATTTGCATCGATTTTATTTCCATACACAACATTATCAAAAATCCTTTTTGGCTGTCTGCGGTTTCTAATGCATACTATATAGATCTGTTAGATCAATTAGCCCCTGGTTAAGATTGTTGTATCAAAAAGACAACGATTATTATTACAACTTTAATTTATTATTAAACACAATACCGCTAAATAACAATAGTCACAACAGCAACAATAAGCCCGAGTACAAGCTTTAATTAATTTATGCGTTTTTTTCTAGCGGAAAAAGTACAAATATGACATTACAATAACGAAAGCAAATGCATGATGATATCACAAAAGGAAATGAATCATAAGTATGTAATGAGCGAAAGTAATGGATTATTTCGTTAGAACTTTTTAAAAATAAATAATATCCGCAATTAGTATCAACAGGTAAGATACAATGCAATATATGATGCATATATGCAGCACAAAACTCGGTCACGTACTAAATTGGTCTACAAGTGGTAAATACGATGACTAATAGATAACAAAAATAAAAATAGTTCGCGTTATTTTCTCAGATTGGTATTGTTATTCAGAACGCCGCGCGCGACACTTCTTTTATTTACTGTAGAAATGTATCAAGGAATTGTTGACAACAATTGTTAAGGATGTGCGTTTATGTGATTATTGGTTGAATTTTTGGTTAAATGATAATAATTAAATAAGTGATAATTAAATTTTTGATTAAATGATAATAATTAAATAGTGTTATCATTAAATGATTAAATAATAACAATAAGACAGTGATAATGTTATTATTATGACAATGTTTGGAAATTGGGGGTTTAAAAAAAAAAAAAAAAAAGTTCACAAAATCAGGAAAAGTCAAATTACTCGCAGGATACGGAATAGATCAAATATGTAAATGAATGAATAAATGGATTGGATTAAAAATTAACAAGACAATCATTCAATAGGAAGAAAGAAGGTGGAAGAGGATACGAGGTTAGCTTTAAAAAGAGGATAACAAGATAGTTACATGATTATTTGTTTCTTTAATTATTACTTTATATGCAAATTATATTATATTCGCATATTGTTTCTATTGTATGTACTAAATCGAATTTTAGATCAATTTTTTTTTGTAATACAAATGAAGTAGTTGTTGTTGTTAATTGTACGTTTTATGAAAGTTCCTGAAACACAATAATAAATTATGCTGACGTTGTTGATTATCACACGCGATCTAATTATTTTTCTTTTGGTCATTCGCCGTTTCCGTCTTCGCTCCATTGCTGCTGTTGTAGATAAAATTTTATTGATTAACTAACTATATATATAATATCTATATTAAACACACTGTATATTACATCATCACTAAATATACTGTGTATTATGTCATGCACCTATATATATATATATATATATCACTACTATAAGTATTATATAATGGGAAAGATACTATAACAAATTAGACATATTATTGTTACATATTTAGGTATTGATTGTCATTTAACCACTCTTGAAAGATGCTAATAATAATCGTATTTTATTTGGTTTTAAAACCGCCATCGTACATATGTACATATGGACTGTCTTTTTTGTTGTTATTGCTTTTATTATGTATAATAAATAGTTTTATTTATAATATTGTGTTATATTGCACTATATTATTTTATATTACATTAATCTCATTTGATGCTGGTTACTTTTTTGTTTTGTTTTGCATTTACATTTATTTATTATTTCCAGATTAATAAGCGATAAATAAACAAAAATGTTTAGGTTGATAATATTACGAAATCTGCAGTTCTTCGGCCAATTGGTTAATTAAATTTTTTATTTTTAATTTTTTAAAAAATTTCCATGTTGTTTTTTGATTTAGTATATACTAGTAAATTGAGTGTTTACAATTTTTCATTCGTTAATTCGTTTCGTTTCAAGTGTTTGTTAAATTTCGTTCAAAAGTAATTGCCAAGAGTAAAATCGGTTACTATTATTAATTATCCCCGGGGGCTTCTTTTCCTTTTTTTTTTTAGGAAAAATAAAATGTTTTTTTCATTTGACAAAAGAAAAATTGCAACGAAAATGTCATGTCATGTCATCTTTTTATATATTTCAAGTTGGTTAAAAATATGCTAATGTATCAATTTGAAAATTGTCTAAATATGAATAAATTTAAAAAAAAACACGTAACTCTTACCCAAATTTGAACAAAAATTAAATTACCAGCATCAGTGTTTACATTACATACTTAAATAATTGAATTTTTTTTTTTCTACTAATAAAGTATATATAATTAAATATTTCTGTAAATCTAATGGTATTTGAAATATCGAAATACCCTTAACGAGGTTCAAATTCAATTTCGATTTCGATTTCGAAATTAAATCAACTATTTAAATTAAATAATGAATACTTTTTTGGCTTCTTTGAATAATAATAATAATTCTACAATTCAAAAATGTCCGAAGACCACCAAACATTGCATAAACAGCTTTGTTTGTTGTTGTTTTTTAAATTATTAAATATTTCTTTCTTTATCCCACATTGTAAATAATCATTTGTTTTAATTGCTTTGAATGATGCATATGCTGGATTTACCTTGTCCAAAAATATCATCTCATTAAATAAAAAAACACGCCATTTTTAAAAGGTAAACTTCTAGAAATTCAAATTTCGAAATGTTGAAAATCTTATTATAATTATCGAAATCATCATGTATAGCATTGAATTTTTTATGGAATCCTTTATATATATAATTTTTCTCCTCATCATTCATAATGAATGAACCGGTTTCATTGTGGTGGAATTCGTTTTTTTGTTTTGATTTATTTACAATATCATTAAACAACAATGATACACCATCACTGTCGAGATTTATTAGATTGGCTAAAGATTTTTTCTGGATAAATAAAAATTTTATCCTTGCATTATTAATAAGATTATCGAATGATACAACTAACGATCCCTATTCCTATATTTACTTTATGTTCTTTATCTATACTTTTTTTTATCAGATCACGTTACTACTATTAGTAATAGTAGGGGTGATGTTATTATTATTATTATTATTTATTCACTTCTTCCATCACCACTTCTAATGCCACCGCCACCATCAATATCTGGTATATAGAAATAGTAGATATGATTGATGTTATTGACTTATTATACTTGAACTTGTATTTTTTTCAAAAATAGTATAATTTTATTAATACAGTATTTGCAAAATACAGCATTATTTTCCGTAACAAGATTATTAAAATATAATATATGAAGAAGTACTAATAATAATTAAAACCGCCAAAAAAATAGTCTTGAGTAATAAAATTAAAAATCTTAGTCATAATTAAAATAATTAAATTTAACGATTGTTTGTTGTTTTTTTGCGAATTTACAATTCTAATATCAAAAAAATAAAAAATAAAATGTAAACGATTTGCCAAATAAAAATTATAAATGTTTACCGATATCCAACTTTTGAGTTGGATATTTAATTGAGTCCATTAAAATAATTAAATTTAACGATTGTTTGTTTGCGAATTTACTATTCTAATATCAAAAAAATAAAAAATAAAATGTAAACGATTTGCCAAAAAAAAAAAAATTATAAATGTTTACCGATATCCAACTTTCGAGTTGGATATTTAATTGAGTCCATATTTGTCTGCCAAAATAATAAATTCGTTTGTGTATTCAAGGCTGGAATCCCTCCAAGAATTAGTAAAAACTTTCGCGAATTCCGCATTATTAATATTAAAATCAGGAGTTTGTTGTGCGAGTTCGTTTAATAAGGTAAGATAGAAAAGTAGTTGGGCAGGTGGTAAATCTGGATTTGTGTTGTTTTCAAGAAGTCTTTGTGCCTTTTCAAGTTCAGGTATATAAATAGTAATGGTTTTGCCACTAGGTAACTTTGCAATAGTGGAAAGAGTTGAATTTTTATTTATTATATTGGGAGTTGGTTGCAAATAATAATTGGATTGATATAAAGGAATGTTATTGTCACAGTCTTTGCCATGATCAGGGGTAACCTGAATTTCGGGGGAAGTCACAGAAGTATTGATTTGAAGAGGTAATTGTAATAATTGAGGTTGTTGTAATGTTTGTTGTGGTGAATCAAAGCAACAATTATTATTATCCGACGTTTGATTGTAAATTGAATTAATGTTATTGTTATGAAAGTCCTCTAAATTATCGTCATTTTGTTTTTGAGAATTGAATCCAAATGCATCTGGTAACCATATTGGTCCAGAGAATCCAACGTTCTAAATGAATAATATTACATATAGAAAATCAATAAATGAAAATGAGAATATTAATTACATGAAACCAAATATCTGCATTAATACCTTTGTAGTATTAGAGTAACAAGGATGAAATTCATCAGAAATTCTTTGATGAGGTTGTTCCAATCGTAATTTATCATTTAAAAAGTGTTCGTTATTATTAATACTATCATTATTGCCGTTGCCATTACAATCGATGCTTGTATTAATAAATTTATCCACATCGTAAATCAAAGATTGTGAAGGAGAACAAGAAGTGTATTGGCAGTTATGTTTTGATTTGGCACAAGCTGTGCAATATGGCACCAATCCATCACATTCAACCTTTCTGCGTTTACAGGACACGCAAACTCGATTTGAATAACCCAAAGTTGCCGCCATTGGATATGGTAGTGGTATAGTTAAAAGTAAATTTTTTTTTGTTATATAATAGCTAAAAAGGATTGGTTTGGAGTTTGTTACTGATGTTTCAATTGTAATTATTGTCGCGATCGTAATTTTTTTTTCTGAAAAATTTAAAAAATCGCATAAAGCCGTGTTATCTTAAAATAATTAGCCAATCAAATAATTAATAAAAAAAAATAAATCAATCAATAATAAAAAATATAAAATATTAACAAAAAATAATTAACAATAATTAATTATTCGATCTAAGCTTGCAGATATATTTATATTAATTTTATAAAGTATAAATATGCATAAATGTGTATATAAAGAGAACATAGAACTCTACAATACTGATGAATTATTGAATCAACTGTAGATGCTAATTATAGAGAATTCACAAAAAAATTAAAGAAGAGATGTATTTTGACACTAATTAGGAAATTTTACAAACCGTAATTTTGGGGATCCAATTATATTTCAAAAAAAGAAAGTTTAAAGTTCTATGATCACGGATCTGCAATCGCAACAACGAACGACCAAGACACTCACCCCCAAAAGTCATGGACCACTTTTTTGAAACAATTAAAATTTTATCAATTTATTAACTACATGTGAAAATTTTACAGTATATTCCTGAATCATATGTTTACGTTTGTTATGATTTTCATCGCTGAATAAAGAGTTACATGGAAATTTTGTTATTGTGTTTGTTTTGAACTGTTAAAATTTTGATCGTCACATTTTTTTAAATGGAAGTTGATAATTTAAAC